CATCAGGGTTGGCGTCCTTCTAGGAGCTAAAAGTCTCCTACTTACTGTACTGGTAACTGCGGGCTTATGTGCTCACCAAGAGGCGAGACCGCCGCCGTATGATATATTGGCGTTAGCAACATGTAGCACCGAAAGCAAGAACCTACCCCCCCCTTGTCCTTAAGGTCAAGATTCATAGACTAGGACCAATGTAGGAGGCAACATCATTGAGGTAGCTAAACAATGCTAAACTAGGGGTCCTAGGGGGGAAAGGGGGTGAAAAGGATGGGAAGGTGACGAGCGGACTGCAGGAAGCTACCTGCATCACCGTCACTGAAAGTCATTGTACTTTTCCACCCAAGCAAACAACACGGGTGTAGCACTTGTTATCCGTAAACAATCATGTCCACAAAGAAAGCACAACCAAGGCATCAGTCACAGGCACAGCCCCGTTCCCCTCGGATGCCGACGCAAATTTTTTGCGTGTCCAAAAGCGTGGTCACCGCAATCATTGGATGGAAATTCCAAAAGCGCGCTTGCGCCGGTAAACTTACGAGGCCGACTTCAGGTTTCCGCTCAATAATGCTTGTATCCCATCAGAGAAACAACCTTTTTCTGATGCGATTGTCCGTCTGCTCTGGGAGGGGATGCGAAAAGATCTGCCGTAAGCTGTCAATGCACACTTAGATTCCTGAAGTAGCGGCCGACATGTTAGTTCTGAAGATCACGCGCCAAGGTCTATGGCTATAACATGCTTAGCCGCATTCGCATTGCGTCCAATAGAATCAGAATTAGGCCAGCTTTAAAGGCACTTGCACATTTGATAGATTTAATAGTTTAAAAGTTTATTTTAGTTTATTTAAAAAGTATACATACGAGTACCTGCTTATTTTGACTTAGTGTATACGTGTGCATACTCTTCAGGGTGCGTGCTATACAATTACTTAGAATCCAATTATTCTCCATTTAATGGTGCTCCGGTTTCTGCAACAGTAGGCCTGCGGAACAGGTTGCATAATCCGCGCCTATAAATAGACGAATCTGCCAATAAGGGCAAAAAATGTCATGGATCGATATTTTAAAAAATGGTCAAGGGGTATTTGGGAGGGCACGCATTAA